AATGAATGAACATCATCATCAAGTTTGAATTGATATTTTGATATGAAAAAACTGAAGAAACCTTTCAATTTAATTCAGTTTGATCAAAGTTATCGCATTTTCCCGAAAGAGAACGACCGGATCATTTTTTTTTGACGTAAAAATTATTTTCACGTGTCGCGCGTCTTCACGGGGTATATAAGTAGGTAAATCACGTCATTTGGCTGTGTGAGCCGGTGAGCTCCACTCTCTCTCTCTGGAGGTCCTCCAGAGAAGGGGGATACGGCCTGGACAAGTTCGGGTCTCATACGAAGATCAGCTAAAGGTTGCATTCCAACCCCACCGTCCAGAACGGTTGCATTCCAACCCCACCGTCCAGAACGGTTGCATTCAGTTATTCATAAAGATGAAGGAAGTTCATAATTATTGGAAAGGTTATTATTGGCTTGTAGATGATGTATGAAAGTCACATGCACTATCAAGAACTTCCTTCAATCTAGATGTTCTCACGTGAATAATTCTAAGAGAAGTCGTTCGTCGTGGATATTCTTCTCAGCCATTATAGCATACCTGAAGCAATATATCATGCGTTTCTCAAGGATGTTCTTTCGTGTGGTTTTGTGATAGAATGAGTTCCGTGATTCAATGAGTTGAATGTCACTCATAAAGCTGCTTCGTATTTCTTTCAATGTGTATATATGCTTCAATGAAGAAGAACAAGATAAAGAGATATACTAACAGTAAGCCTTTATTGATAACAACCTGTGATTCAAACCATTTCATGTAAAAGTATTATAAAGAGAAAGAGATTGATGTTGTAAGGTTTGAATACAAGGTTGTTAAAGCTCTAGTTGTAACTCATTTTCAGAGATTTTTTAGCATCATCATCATCATTTTCAGATATTAATTCATTCATCTCTCATTCATCTGAATAAGAGATGAACGATGAATACAAAAACAAATCATAAAAATTGAGAGAGAAGGAGAGAGGAAGAAGTTCATAACACAAATGGTGTTAACTACTTGTTCTTTGCAAAGTAAGAGAGGGAACAAGAGAGTTGGAGAGAGAGAGAGAGAGAGAGAGAGAGAGAGAGAGAGAGAGGGACATATAGAGCAGAGAGAGAGAGAGAGAGATAAGATACGATAAAGTATTTCAGTTTATTATGTCATCATCAACTAGAAATTATCAAATATGACATTTCTATGCAAATGAGTTCATTCCACGTTTGGCAAAGGCAAATCCATATGGAGAAGCTCGTTTAGCAAAAGCGAATGTACGATATCCTCTGTAATGATATGAATGATTAGAAATGCATATCTTTCACATATACAATATAGGTGTTATAATTGTATATTAAACAACGTTACCTTTTAGCAAATGCAAATCGAGCACGCTTATCGACATCAGAAGCAACTTGTTCATCCTCTTCGTCAAAGACTCCTCGCTTGGCAAATGCAAATGTTCGGTAAGGAGATCTTTTAGCAAATGCAAATTGACGAACTCTCTTATCAGCAGATAAATCATCATCAGATGCTATCTGAAGATGATTA